GATAACATTGAGAATGAGAATTCCAGAACACTTAATTATGTTCATGAGGAACCTGTACATAGACCAGGAAGCTGTCATTTGAACAGACAAGGGGATATTGCATGGTTTAAAATCAGGAAGGGAGTGTGCCAGGGTTGTATCCTTTTACCATACTTATTCAATCTGTATGGTGAGCAAATAATTCGAGAAGCTGGACTATATGAAGAAGAACATGGCATCAGGATTGGAGGAAGATTCATTCAACAACCTGCGATACACAGATGACACAACTTTGCTTGCTGAAATTGAGTATGACTAAAAGCACTTACTGATGAAGATTGAAGACTACAGTCTGCAATACAGATTACATCTCAACATGAAGAAAATGAATATTCTCACAACTGGACCAATAAGCAGCATCATGATAAATGGAGAAAAGACTGAAGTTGTCAAAGATTTCATATTACTTGGTTCCACCATCAATACCAACGGGAATAGCACTCAAGATACCAGACAATGTATTGCACTGCGCAAATCTGCTGCAAAAGACCTCTTTAAAGTGCAAAGATGAAGTGTGCCTAACCCAAGGCATGGTATTTTCAATTGCCTCATATGCATGCGAGAATTGGACAATGAATAAGGAAGACCGAAGAAGAATTGATGCTCTTGGGTTATGGTTTTGGCAAAGAATACTGAAAGTACCATGTACTGCCAAAAGAACTAACAAATCTGTCCTGGAAGAAGTGCAGCTGGAATGCTCCTTGGAAGCGAAAATGGCCAGACTTCGTTTGACCTACATTGGTCATGTTGTCAGAAAGGATCATTTGCTGGAGAAGGATATCATGTAAAGCAGAGGGTTGATGAAAAAGGAGAAGAACCTCAAGGAGATGGATTGACACAGTGGCTGCAACAATGGGCTCAGGTACAGCAAGTATTGTGAAGCAGGCAGTGGACTGGGCAGTATTTCATTCTGTTGTACATAGGGTTGCTAAGAGTCGGAGCCAACTTGACAGTACCTAACAACAATAGTGTGTATTTCATTGTATGTAAATTTTCCTTCATAAAGAAGAAATAAGAACCAAACCAAAAAAACAAAACTTACTGCCATTGAATCGCTTCAGATTCATAGTGACCCCTTTGGGTTTCTGAGGCAATAAATCTTTACAGAAATAGATTGCTCAATCTCCCTTCCATGGAGTAGCTGGTGGGTTTGAGCCACCAACCTCCTGGTTAGCAGTCAAATGCCTTAGGCACTATGCCACCAGAGCTCCTTAGAAATAAAAACAGTAAACAGAAATTGAAATCTTGTCGATGATATCTGTGGAATTTACAGTTGTGTGTCACCTTACCTGGGCCTGGTTTTGAGTGGCTGGGCAGCTGGATATAGTTATGCCCCATGATGAGACCAGTAATCAACTACATGGTGGAATCGACTGTGAGCAGCTGACTAGCTGCCTTAGGGATGTGGTATGCTTTCAATAGATAAGAAGACACTTTGAGTTAGGTTTTTGAGCTTCTTGGCCCATCTGGATCCTGCATTTGGCCAAGTCATCAGTGGTTTGCCATGCTGTCTGCAGATCTTGGGAATATTTAACTAGTGACCATCTATGTTGCTTGGTAATCTTGAGACTGTGCCATTTTACTTGTCGACTTCAGGTTTGTCAGCCTCAGCAGTCAGCAGCTGCCTGAGGTAAGAGATGCCTCCAGCTTTAGTGGGCTGTAAGCAAGAGGCTGAGCTGAAGCACAAAGTGGAGGGCCCTACACCTAGCCCCTAGAGCTGGCAGTTTGAAATCAGATTTCTAGCCTCCTAAACTGTAAGAGAATAAATCCCTATTTGTCAAAGCCACCAATTTGTGGTATTTTCTGTTAAAGCAGCACTAGAGAACCAAAACAGTATCTATGCTCAATTTTTCAGAGTAAAAGTGAAATTACCTGCAACTTACTTTGAAATGATTAGTAAGATGGATTGATTGATGGATAGATAAAACCAAAAAACCAAATCTGTTGTGGATGAGTTGATTTTGAATCATGACAACCCCATGTGTCATAGAGTAGAACTACTACATAGGGTTTTCTTGGCTGTAATCTTTACAGAAGCAGATTGCCAGGGATTTATACCACAGTACTACTGAGAGGGTTCAAACTGCCAACCTTTATGGTTAGCACCCAAGTGCAAACTGTGCCACCCAGGGACCTCCATGGATAGATCAGAGGGATGGATAAATGGAAACATATAAAGCTACTTAGTACAATATTAATAGTAGGATCTAGCTGGTAAGTATATGGATGTTCTATATACCTATAAAATTGCTAATTTATTCTGTATTTTATTATATTATATTATATTAATTATAAACAATTAAAATTAGTAACATTATTATACATGCATATGTATTTTTTATATAGTTATACTGTATATACCATATAACTCTATACACTATTCTTTTCTCTCATAATAAAATCGTATCAAATCAAATTTTCTCATAATAAAATGTTAGGGGGAAAAATGAATACATTAAAACATGAATAAAGTGGTTCTTAATAGGAAATTTTAATTTAGATATCAATTCTCACCAAATTTAATCTAAACATTCATTATAATCCCAATCAGAATTTTTCATGGACATTGAGGTATACTTTAATAAGTCAGTCTGCTTCTGTAAAGAACCTGTAGAAACTCATGCAGTTCTTGATAAATGACATACAATGTCAAATGCCTGTAGGATCAAAAACAAGACATATAGAATGCTTCCAAAACATCAAGAAATAAAAAAAAAGAAAAAAGACAAAGAATACAAACAGGCAATTGACAAAGAGGAAACATGAATGCCAAAAAGCAACTTAAACCACGCTCAACCTCATTCATAAATGGGGATGGAGAATATAATAGATGAAATACCATTTTTCATCCTTTAAACTGGCAAAAATTCACAAATTTGGATACAATCTTATGTAAGATAAAGAGAAAAAAGTCTTTTTTTTCTGTTGCAGAAAAGTAAACTGTAAACAACTATTTGCTAAACCAAACAAAACTCAATGCCATCGAGTTGGTTCCAACTCATAGCAACCCTACAGGACAGAGTAGAACTGCCCCAGAGGGTTTCCAATGCTGTAAATCTTTACAGAAGCAGACTGCCTTATCTTTCTTCCACAAGTGCCTTGTGTGTTCAAACCACTGACCTTATGGATAGCAGGTGAATGCTGTAACCACTGCACCACCAGAGCTCCTACCATTTGGTACTATTGTTTACAAAAAGGTAAGTCTTCTGAGCCAGCATGTTTTATTTCTCTAAGGAGAAACTCTCATGTAAGGGTCCCAGGGGCCTGTACATGCTTAGAGCCCAACAAGATAAACAACTCAAATTCCCACCACTAAGGGAATAGTTAAGAGTCAGTAAATGTGCTCAGCTGCTAAGAGGCTGGAGGTTCAAGTTCACTCAGAGGCACCTGGGAAGAAAGGCGTGTTGACCTACTTCTGAATGGTCACAACCATTGAAAACTTTAGGCATCAGTTCTACTCCATCACACAAGGGGTCATCATGAATTGGAATTGACTCAATGGCAAATGGTTAAGGGGAGTAGTTAAATGCTACATGGAGTATTATAGAAAGGAAAAAGGAAGATAAAGGAAATTTAAATACACTGACTTGGAAAACTCTCTAAGACCTACATAAACATACCAGGTATAACATCACTTGTGGAAAATGGAAAATCAAAGTGAGATGATGATTTATTTCTCTAGGTATATATATACACATATATATATACATGTATTAAATGCTGAGGAAAACTCTTGCCTAACAAACCCAAAAGACAATGGAAATGACTGCTAGTGGAAGACTAGGACACAACTTTCAGTTAATGGGTACTAGAGGCATTATTTACATGAATGTGTTAATTTAATCTATAAATAATAATGATAAGAAAATCAAATAAATATTTTTATAAGGAAAAACAATGATTCAACTTCTGAAATGATTTCTATGTCTTCCAAAGCCTCATAAAATGTGACCTTGGTACAATTTCTTCTTTACTTACTGTTATGTTTCATTTATTCTCCATGAAAGATTATTAAGGTAAAATGCTTTGGAAATTCTTAGTATAGTAGAACGTTCTCAAACATCTCAAAAAGTCATCATGATGTATACACAGAAGGGCCACTCCCATGACCATCCTCCCCTACATAGCATTGCAGAACACCACTCCAATAGGTAATGTTTATGAGGAATCAGGGAAGTATGAACAAGTAAACAATACTCAATTAATTGACTACATCATGCTTGTGCGATGATTTAAAATAGTTAAAAGGAATCAATCACTCTGCAATAGGCCTGTACAGAAAATAACAGGAATTCAACAGTTTTAAATACAGGGAATAAAAGTAATACCACATTCACATGATGACAGAACATTTGCCAATCAGAGGAAGATTTCCTCAAAATAAAATATGGTGCAGTAGAAAGACACTGTACCAGGAAACAAGAGGCTAGAGTTCAAAGCCAAATTCCATCAACAACTCACTGCAGAATGTCAAGCAAGGCTGTGAGCCTCAGTTTCCCCATCTTTAAAATCGGTTTGAGACTTTCCCTATTTTAGAGGGTACCCCAAAGGTAAATGGGTTTATATATTAGAAACTGTAGACACAGTTATTGGTGCTACTGAGATTTCAGAGTTAAAACTACCTCTTTAAAGCCAAAATTCTGGGAACCTTACCAATATGGTCTAAACATTTGTGTTCCTGTCAGGTCATGATTGTTGAAGAAATGAACAGTGTGTGTGTGTGTGTTTGTGTATGTGACGTCTTTACACTAAACATGGAAAACGTAAAAATTCCCCAGGAAGAATTTTATCAAACCAAACCCAGCACAGTTGCCTCCTTATATGAAATTCAGTCTATTTCTATCAAATTCAGCAAATACTTGAGGTGACTGCGAGTGGTATTTGCCAGATTTACAACCTGGATTACGACACAGTGAACCCTCAGAGGCTCAGAAAATGATTTGAGGGAAAGAAATACTTACTGAAAATTATGATTAGGGCTGTGTGTTGGACCTAAAAAGATAAAACAAACAAACAAACAAAAAACAAGTTATTAATATTTCATGATTTTGAATAAAAGAATTTTCCAATCAGGCCAGTGATAAGGTGGCTAAACCCAATACACTCATTTGTGGCAAGTGAACCTCTGGCTTTGGACTCTGCATGTCTTGCCCATGATTATATGCCAGTCACACTGAGAAGCACAAGAAAGGGAAGGGGTGCTTTTTTGCTTAAGCAGAAATTTCTGGAGATATTTTTGGAGTTTGTGCTGTCTTTCCTCTCTCTTCTGATCTTAAAGATTTAGCTTGATACATAACATATATTTTATTAATCTGTGATACAATGGCCTGGGGTTTGTGTGATGGGACCTAGCTGTTGCCTGGGCCCTTCCTCAGAACTCTTACGAACCAAAAAACCAGTTGCTCTAGAGTCTACTCTGACTCATGGCAACCTCACATGTTTCAGAAAACTGTGCTCCATAAAGTTTTCAACGACTGAGTTTTCAGAAGTAGATCACCAGGCCTTTCTTCCAAGGTACCTCTTGGGTGGACTTGAACCATCGACCTTCCATTTAGCAGCCAAGTGTGCTAACCATTCGTACCACCAGGGACTCTGATGATAGGGGGATACATTGTTTCCTGCCATTTAATTCCTGTCCCTACTTGTGAGAAGGACAATAGTGTAGCATTGTCATTATGCTCTTCTCTCTTTTAGCCCAATCCAGATTTCTGTAGGTGGATACATACAAGTCTTAGTTTTATAGAACAACCTCAGTGTCCACAAGGCCTACCTCAGAGCCATCAGTTTTCCCTTGAAACGTGGCCATCCCAGGCTGGTAGGAATTTCTGTGGAGATCTGACCTCCCAAAATGCAACCTTTTCCCTAAATGTCACAGTATACCTTGTGTGTCTAGGACTGCTCTGTGCCTTAGATTTACAGACCATTCCATCTCTAGCTACTTCCTTTTATTACTAGTAAATGGGTAACAGGTTAAATTGGGGACTCAAACTCAAGGAGAAAGGCCTCAGGGAATTGTTTTATATTTTCTTTCATGTTGGCTCATGTGTGTTCAGTTTCAAAATGCAAATTAGTATCTCCCCCAGTTGCTGTGACTGTTCAAAGTGGGCATCCTATTTGCCAAAAGACACTCAACTGCATGACTCACCAAGCCTCACAAACAGAACACCAGTGGCTGTGATGGTTTTCACTCCATTTGTGGCCACACACTGATAGTAGCCCGTGTCCGTGGTATCCAGATCTTGAATCCTCAGCCGAGAACCATATTCTGTCTTCCGGATAATGATCCGCCGGGGCTCCTGCATGACTGGAGCATCGTTCTTCAGCCATCGAACATTAGGGGGTGGGTTGCCTGCCACCTTGCAATGCAGAATCGCTGTCTGGCCCTGGACTATTGTGATATTGTTTACGGGTTCCAGGAAATTCAGAAAATAACCTGGGGAGAAGGGTTATAAGAGAGCAGGCTTCAGTGAAGATCAGAAGAAAAGGCTGTCTGAGTGTTCCTTTCATGAACTACACTGAGGAAATGCTTCAGTTTTTCTCATACATACTTCTTTTTCAAGCATTAAATTTAACAATAATAACAATAAAACAAAAAAACAATGTTTTGCTGTTGAGTTGATTCTGACTCATGGTAACCCCATGCACTACAGAGTAGAACTGAAGTCCATAGGATTTTCTTGTCATAATCTTTACAGAAGCAGATCATCAGGCCTTTCTTCTACAGTGCCATTGGGTGGGTTCAAACAGCCAACCTTTAGGTTAGTACTAAAGTGCAAACCATTTTAATCACCCAGGGACCTAAATCTACCAAGGTTGGTTAGTATGATGTAAAAGCACCCTCAGAGGTTCCTCTTCTCCTTCTACCACACCATCAGGCACAAAACAACAATACATAAAACAGAAGAAAAACATGTGACCAAACAAAGCTGAGTGGAATTGAAGGCCTTTGTGGCCAGATCAGGTTCTGGCAGATTTCCAGGGCTCACATGCTAGGGGGAAGATAGGACTTACTAGTGTCCATCAATGGGGGCTGACTTGAGTTAAGTGGGCTACAAATATTGTTCTAGCATGTGGTGGACTGGTACCACCATGAGGCAGAGGAGTTCTCAGCTAGTGATATAAGGCTACATGAAACAGGGAAAGTAAAATTGATGGAGGAGGCTTGAGCATGTGTACATGTCCATGTCATGTATATGTGTGGTGAGCCAGGGATGCTAGAGGCACCATCTTCTGACCTCCTCTAACCCCATAAGATGAAGACAGAATCACCATCAGTAGCCCAAGGCCTATTCCTGAAAGGCCAGGCATACTGCCTCCCTCCAGCCCTTTTACCAACTGTTCCTCCCACAGCACCCACCACCTCTCTGCTGGGTTCAATAATTCACTGCAGTGGACACACAGAACTCACAGATTATGGGGTTTATTAGGGAAGCACAAGTTCAGAAATGCACTCAGTCTCTTGCAGCTGGCCATCTCAGCAGCTGGCAGTCTCAGTAGCACATTGCTCTCCCAGTAGTGCATGTCTCTTGTTTCTCTCACATCTCTCTCTCACAGTGTGTGTCTCTCAATTCTCTCAGGAGTGCATTTCTCTCAGCAGCACCCCTTTCTCAGCCAGCAGTCTGAGAGACTCCTTCGGCCTCTAGGAGGACTCCTTTTGAGCCTGGCAGAGTGGCCAAACTAACCGATCCCAACATGAGAATTCTATATACCTGATAGAGAGCAAACTTCCAAGAAAATTACTTGGTGCTATACTCAACAGAAATACCCTAGATGGATAACTTTAACAATCAGCAGCTACTCAGTTGCTCATGGCAAATTCCACCACTGAGTTTACAAAGACTTAAGGCTAGAAAAGCCACACTATGTAATTTACTACACCACACTCTCTCTCAAGATGAGCGTGCAACTAAAATTCCATAGCACATAAGGAAAACTAATCCTAAAAAGAAAACAATCATCAGGAAACGAATTTATTTCAGACAAAACTAAAGCAATAGAGCAATGTGAAATTTACTATAAAATAGATTTATCTGCTGAATCTTTTTCTGGTTGCCTTCCTTCCTTTTACATTGAATGAAATTGGACAATTACTGATTTAACTGAAAAATTATAGGGTTTCTAATGGACTCTTAGTGATGGTCCCTACATGTTGGGTAGGAGGAAGCATTTGTGGAGGGAGGGAGTAAGGCTGCCAATTTCAACATGAAGGGATGATTTTCATTCACAAGAAAGAGTCAAGAGCTATTTGTTTGGAGAGGTGTCACTAATTTAGCACAGATTAATATTTACCATTATTAATATCATTAGGGAGCTCTGGTAGCGTAGTGCCTAAGGCACTTGACTGCTAACCAGAAGGCTGGCAGTTCAAACCCACCAGGCACTCCTCAGAAGGAAGATGGGGCGATCTACTTCCGTAGTGATACTGCCTCGGAAACCCAAGGAGGGGTCACTATGAGTGGGTCTGACTCGATGGCATATAACAACAACAACAAAATATCATTAGGTTCTACCTAGATTCTATTCTAATTCTATTCTATCCAGATTCTAACTTTCTTCTCAATGTATTAAGTCACAGAAGGTAATTCTATGGGATGACACAAAGATGGAAAGTAATTGTAATGTTGATGATACGCAGTCTCACCACCTGAAAATGTGAGGTGCAACCAACAGGTGAAATTCTGAAGGTAAGGTCTTTATTAAATCAAATGTAAAGTGTAACAGGGAGAGGCCTGGCAATCCTAGAGCTTCTATACAAGACCATGAGCATCTTTGTATCATTGTTGAATACAAACTCAACTGGACTTGACAGTGTGAAGTGGTTGCTGTTGTTGTTAAGTACCATCGAGTCATCTCCAACTCACAGTGACCCTATGCACAGCAGAATGAAACACCGCCCGGTCCTGAGCCAGCTCCATGATTCTTGCTACACTTGAGCCCATGGCCGATGCCACTGTGTCAATCCACCTCATTGAGGGCCTTCCCCTCTTTTGTTGACCTCCCACCTTACCAAGCATGACATTCTTCTCCAGGGAATGGTCCCTTCTGGCAACATGACCCAAGTATGTGAGATGAAGTCTGGCCATTCTCGCTTCCAAGGAGCATTCTGGCTGCACTTCCTCCAGGACAGACCTCCTGTTAGTTTGTTCAGCAGTCCATGGTACTTTCAGCATTCTTCGCCAACACCACAGCTAAAAAGCATCAATTCGTCTTTGGTCCTTCTTATTCACTGTCCAGCTATCACATGCATATGAGGTGACTGAAAACACCATGGCTTATGTCAGGCACACCTTAGTCCTCAAGGAGACATCTTTGCTCTTTAGCACTTGAAAGAGGTCCTTTGCAGCTGATAGGCCCAGTGCTATATGTCGTCTGATGTCTTGAGTGCTGCTTCCATTGGCGTCGATTGTAGATCCAAGTCATGTGAAGTCTTGACAATTTCAATCTTTTCTCCATTTATCGTAATGCTGCTTATAGGTCCAGTTGTGAGGACTTTTGTTTTCTTTATATTGAGATGTAATCCATACTGAAGACTGTATTCTTCAATCTTCCTCAGTAAGTACTTCAAGTCATCCTCACTTTCAGCAAGCAAAGTTGTGTTGTCAGCATATCTCAGGTTGTTAATGATTCTTCCTCCAATCCTGATGCCACATTCTTCTTCATATAGTCCAGCTTCTCAGATTATTTGCTCAGCATACAGATTGAATAAGTATTGTGAAAGGATACTACCCTGATGCACTCCCTTCTTGATTTTAAACCAGGCAGTGTTCCCTTTTTCGGTTTGAATGACAGCATCCTGGTCTATGTACAGGATCCTCATGAGTACAATCAAGTGTTCTAGAATACCATTCTCTTCTCAATGTTATCCACAATTTGTTATGATCCACACAATCAAATGCTTTTGTGTAGAATAAAACACAAGTAAATATCTTTCTGGTATTCTTTGCTTTGAGCCAAGATCCATCTGACAGCAGCAATGATATCCCTTGTTCAACGTCCTCTTCTGAATCCAGCTTGCATTTCTGGAAGTTCTCTGTCAATATACTGCTGCAACTGTTTTTGAATTATCTTCAATTCAACTTGCATGCAATATTAATGATATTGTTCGATAATGTCCACATTCTGTGGGATCACCTTTCTTTGGAATGGGTACAAATATGGATCTCTTCCAGTCAGTTGCCCAGGTAGCTCTCTTCCAAATCTCTTGGCTTAACCGAGTGAGTGCCTCCAGCAGGGCATCCATATGGTGAAACATCTCAATGGGTATTCTGTCAATTCCTGGAGCCTTGTTTCTTGAAAATTCCCTCAGCGCAGCTTCGACCTCTTCCCTCAATACCACTGGTTCTTGAACATATGCCACCTCCTGAAATGGATGAAGATCGACCAGTTCTTTTTGGGATAGTGACTCTGTGTATTCCTTCTTTTGATCTTTTGATGTTTCCTGCATCATTCAATATTTTGCCCATAGAACCTTTCAATATTGCAACTTGAGGCTTAAATTTTTTCTTCAGTTCTTTCAGCTCAAGAAAAGATGACTGTGTTCTTTCCTTTTGATTTTCCAACTCCAGGTCTTTGCACATTTCATTATAGTATGGCTTTGTCTGCTTAAGCTGCTCTTTGAAATCTTCTGTTCAGCTCTTCTATCTTGTCATTTCTTCCATATGCTTTGGCTACTCTTTGCTCAAGTGCAAGTTTCAGAGTCTCTTCTGACATCCATTTTTGTCTTTTCTTTCTTTTTTTAATTTTTAATGACCTCTTGCTTTCTTCATGGATGATACTCTTGATATCATCCTACAATTCTCTGGTTTTCAGTGATTGGTGTTTAATATATCAAATCTATTTAGACAGTCTCTAAATTCATGAGGCATATGTCCAAGATCTTATTTTGGCTCTCATGGACTTGTTTTAATTGTCTTCAACTTCAAATTGAACTTACATATGAGCAGTTGATGGTCTGTTCCACTATCAGCTCCTGGACTTGTTTTGGCTGAGTACATTGAGCTTTTCCATTGACTTTTGCCACAGATGTTGTCAATCTGATTCCTGTGTACTCCATCTGGTGAAGTCCACGTGTTAGCTGCTGTTTCTGTTGTTAAAAAAAAAGTTATTTGCAATGAACAAGTCGTTGGTCTTGCAAAATTCTACCATGTGAGTTCCAGCATTATTTCCATCACCAAGGCCAACTTTTCCAAATACCAGTGATTCTTCTCTGTTTCCAATTTTTGCTTTCCAATTACCAGTGATAAGCAACACATCTTGATTGCATGTTTGGTCAATTTCAGACTGCAGAAGTTGATAAAAATCTTCAATTTCCTCATCTTTGGCTTTGGTGGGTGGTGCATAAATTTGAATGATAATCATATCAACTGATCTTCATTGTAGGCATATGGATATTATCCTATCACTGACAGCATTGTACTTCAGGACAAATCTTGA